TCCCCTACCTGGCTCCTGTGATTAATCTTTCCATCTAGAAATGAGCAAGATGCAATTAGTAAGTCCATTTTCACTTGTCCAGACTTCAAAAAGCCATTTTATTAGATGAGTGAGAGAATTATGAGAATTGAGCCTCCAGTTAACTTGTTAAATGTTTTGTTAACTTGCCATGCACTGAGATTTTAAATGGGTTTTTGTTACTCGTTTTATGTACTATCATCCCTGCAATTCATTATTCATTAAATATTGGGGGGGGGGTTGTTACAGATTTTTTCTCCCAGTGAGACTCAAAGCACTTCACAGAGTTGAGTATCATTATGTGCATTATACAGGGGCATGAAATGATCTGTCTGATGTTGTTGAGGAGGTCAGCAGCAGGCCTGGACCTGGAACCTGCATCTTCTGAGCCCACATTCCACCTACTGACGGCTGATCTGAGTTACCTGCTGCAGAGAACAGTCCCAGAAAGGGCTGCAGTTTCCTGCTCCCCTAACAAAAATCTGGTGAAGCAGCCCTGTGAGGGGCAGCAGGTTTCTGACAGTACAATATCCAGCTCTCTGGGGCCAGCGGAGGAGAGTGCTGGGAACAGCTGCTTACAGGAGCTGCTGGGAACACGTGGATGGGCGTGCTAACCAGCAAGGGCTCCTTTGGCTTTCCCCTTGCACTGTTCTGTTTGAACATGTCGCTGTTCAATGTGCCGGGAGGGAGTTTGGGAACAGACTTGTGGAGGATAATCTGGGATTCCTGGCCTTTGGCACACGCTGTGGTTCTTGAAATCAGCATCACAGCTTCCCCCTGTGTAAAGCAAAAAAGGCTTGACTGGCTGAGGTGGAGAACTTGAGCATATGTATAAATTGAGGCTTTGCCTAAGGGAGAAAAATTTGGATTCAGTGTAAGAGGATATTAATCTACTAAAACCACTTTTAGATTTCAAAATTAATTTATTTAATCAATAGACTTTTCATTTTCCATTTCCAGTCCTCTGGCTGAGCAATCTGTCAGGATATCAATGCCATAACTTATTTACAGGCTTTGCTAAATCCTCTAAATGTAAGATTTGACATCTCATTTTTCTCTTGCTCATTCCAGGCTCCCCTCTGCAATCGTGCCTGATTGAGCATTACTGGGAAATGCAGAAATGTGGAGCCAGACTGGTACTGAGCAGTACAAGGTAAGGTGCCTGGCTGCTGCCCTGGTTTAGTCCCAAATATGAGCTATGGCCAGCTGAAAAGAGGGTTCAGGAGCAGGTCTTGAAGCATGATTTGTTGTCACAACTTTTCTACTCCTGTAGAGAATGGAGAACATGAATATGATGAATTAATCCCTCTCCATCTCTGACACAATTTGGTACACTTGATAGAGGACTGAGAATAGTAGTAGTAGTAGTAGTGGTGGTGGTGGTACACTTGGTAGAGGACTGAGAATATTGTTATTATTGTTGTTGTTGTTGTTGCTGCTGTTGTTGTCGTCATTATGATTATGAAAGAGTTGCTATTTAAAAGCAGAACAGAAATCTCTTAAAAGGCCCATTATTGACTCTATGAAGTATCAGCCGCTGTATCATTAACATATGACACACGTGCAAAATATTTTCTCAGGAAAGCAAAAATACTCAGGGAGATCTATGAAATAAAATAGTCCTAGGTGTAAAAAGTGATCAGGAAAAGGCCAGTGACATTTTAATTATTTAGCACAGCAACAATTCTGACTAGGGGGAAGAAACAGAGGGCAAGGTAACAAGTGAGGGAGGGGAACTGTTTTTGTATGAAATGGAAATCCTGGGTGAAATCCTGAAGGGAGTTTGCCATTATTTGAATTGGGTTCTTTATTGTTTTAAGAACAGGAGAAAAAAAAAGTAGAGAGGAAAAATGAACAAGAGTGTTCAAATGTAGAAGATTTGCTTTTCCTGTCAGGCATTATATTCTGTTTATTGCTGCGCCATGTTATATCTGGATGTATGCTTCTACATCTCATTATCTGATGGTCTTTAAGAAAATATGAGAACTTGAGAACAAAAAGCCAAACAAAGCCCACATTTGCTCTTGCCAAATTTAATCACTTTAATATAGAAAGATAATCATGAATATGTCCACTGTGTGCTTAAATGTATTCCTCTGTTTCTCAGATTATAATTAGCTTTTAACAATCGCCCCCACCACCAAATCAACATACATAAGTATTTTCCTGTGCTTTCTGAAGCTAAAGGCTCTGCAGATTACAAGGTGGATTCCTGCCTCCCCAGACACTTGTCACTGCAGCACTCCAGCACATTGCTGGGGATAGAATTCATTCGTGCCACTTGCGATTCAGTGGGAAAATCTTCCCCGGAGCTCAGCAAATGCCCCAAGCCTGGGCCTGATCTGGCAAGGTCAGACTGCAAACATCTCTCCACACTCACTCAGAGCAAGGCCCGGCTCAAACCCTGCTTTGTCCAGCTGTCAGAGGCCTGAGGTGGGAAGTAGCTCAGGCACAAGGGCAGAGATTGATGGACTGGAAATACATCCATCGGAACTTGGGGCTGAGGTGTCTTGGATCCTTCTCTCCAGGCTTTTCAGCAGCCATCCCTGCCAGAAATACAGCAAACACCCATTCTTTTATTAGCCCCTTTGGTATCTAATAAGGCTCTGCTTGACAGCTCCAGCTTCTGGGTTCCTGCTGCAGCAGCCTGCTCCTGCTTGTATGCTCTTGAGATAGGAGTCCGTGGGGGGTGGGACCTGTTAAACACAGAAATACTGGGAAAAATGGTACAGAAATGTCCCTCTTCAGTGGCAAAGAAAATTCAATTGAGCTACTCTACTGCTCTCATGAATCCAGGAGAGAAAACCCATGAGGATAACTTAGGACTTTAGAGAGAGCAAATTTAGGAGTTCAAAGTCACTGTGTCTGTTTGAAGGCAAGGCCACTTCTGTCATGCCTTGCTCACCTCTGTCAGATTCAGAAATTAAGGCTGTACCCCCCACAAATCCTGAAATCTGGTAAAAGGAGTGCAGAGCCTGATCACCAGTTCTTGGGCAAGAATTGTACAGCCAGCACTGAGGAAATTTTGTTTCCTGATTTGTGAACTGAAAAGATGAATTTGGGATGAAACAAATAGGGAATTCCATGAAAACCCATGTACAGAGGGTTTTCTGACTGGCTGCAAGAGGCTGTCAAAATCGGAGCAAAATTTTACTTATCCTTCCTTAAAACCCACAAGTGCCAGAGCATAAATCAGAGCTCTACTTGGAAAGTGGAGAGATGCCCTGAAGTTTGAGTCAGGAGCAGGAGAAAACCAAAAGTATAAAAAAACCCTGTGGTTAGGAGTGTTCTTCCCCATTTAAATACATCCTAAAATCGTCAGTGATCTTGAAACAGAGAATTTCTTTTCCCTTAAACTCTCCAATTTCTGAGCCAGTCTTCAGTCCTTAGGGTGTGCCCTTTGCCTTCATCCTCATTTCTTGGACAATCTGATCTCTTTGCCTTTGGGGCAGATAACCTCAAAATGTTGGCACTCAGGGAAAATTGAATGGATTTGCTTCCAGAAGGGAAATTTGCCCAAACAACAAGGAAGTGCTTTTGAATGTACTGACTAATTATCCCTGCTTCTTTTTTAATATGTCTTGCATTGTTTCATACAGAATTAGCACATTTCCAGAAGTATTTAATGACCCCATTCTTATCCTTGAATGATTTTACCTCGAAGTCTGTAACTAGGATATTGGGTACCCCTGAAAACAATTGGACCCAAGAGTACCAGCTGCTTGGAGACTGTTTAATTCTGTGTGTCTCACCACCAAATGTTCTGGAAAGGTCACTACCAGACCCACAAGACATAAGGGAGAGCTTGAAATCTCTGCTTCATAGTGGCATTCTTTATAGTACTTCCCTCAGTGGCAGGCTTGCAGCAATGTTTTAAAAAAAAAAAAAAAAAAGGTAATTAAGCCATTAGATCAATCAAAGAAGCTAATCAGAACAAAATGCTGATTTCTGTCTCCTGTTCTGTTTCTCTTTGGATGGAGAGCAGTTGCTGATATGTGTGCTGGGCTTCTAATCCTTTAATGGGGGCTCAGGCTTTTGAAGACTCCCTCTCAGAGGTGCTATTACCAAATATATGCTTCTAATTTAACTTCTCATGCCATATTACAGTAGCCTGAAGCCATTTTAGGTGTTGGGTGTGTGAGAAAAGCCCAATGTTGATGTTTATCAGATGACCTTTTAAAGGGTAATGTGAGGGTTATCCATTGGCATGATTAAGACCATATGTAGGTGACTTTTCCCAGGCATTTCTTCCTGCTTTTCAAAATCCCATCTATTTTTACCCAAATTCAGCCAGGTACCTTTCATCTCTGGTATGTTTATGGGCATGACAAAATGAGACTGAAGCAAAGCATTTGCTCCTTTGGAGTAATTTCTATTAGAAATTTCTATTCTAAATTTCAAATTTCTAAGGAAATTTGAATATCTAGTGTCAACACAAAGATATTGTAGATAAACTCCAACTTTCTTTTCATTTTGACCCTTTCAGATATTTATAGCAGTTTCCTTTCCCTCCTCTGCTGCATTGTTACAAAGACTTCTTGAAAGACTGTGGAGAAGTGACTTTTCTCTGTGAGACTGAGCTTTTAGTGACCTTGCAGGGATGTCCTGCTATGAAGCTGCTGAGAGACAGGGATTTGAAGAATCCATTATCTGTGCTACAGACAAGGACAGAGCACAAATCTCCCTTGATGTTGTGCCTGTGAGAGTATCATTTTTGCCATTTTGGAAGCTCAGTATTTTCCTCATGGCTTGTTGTCTTGGTGGAGACCAGTTGCTAATGTTTCCTTCAAGTCTCTGAAAATGTATTATTAACACACATTGTGCTTTGTTCTTTTTTTTTTTTTGCTGTTTACAGACTGAAGATCTTTCTGTTAGTGGGTCTCACTCAGCACCATCAGCTGATATCGCTTAAAGAGGTGCCATGGTGAGATTCACTGCAAAGCACAGGTAGAGATAAAAAGGTGAGTATGGTGCTGAGATGTGAGCCAGGGAAGTGGGTGACAAGGCAGGAATCCATAGGAACTACAAACTCTTTCAGGGGAGGAAATAGGGCAAGCACCTTATGAACACTTGACATTTAAAAATTATACTTCAAAGGACTTTCTCAATGGATTGGGACTTCTGTTCATGTAAGTTGTTTTTATGACTCAGTATGCTGAGGTAAGGTTACAGCCTGGATTGTCTAAAATAAATGCAACTTGGAGCAGTTCAATATTGAGAAGCTGATGTTTTTTTAAGTTTTTCTGCCCCAGATTTGTAATTTATTATTGGAAAGTATTCATTACTTTTTCCATGGTAGTTACAGTAGCTCCTTATCTAGGAAAACATTGCACAGGTTGGGGCTTTGCTGGAGAACACTTAGAGATCTCCCCTTAGCCTAAATGTATGAATTATATTCAAATAGCACAGGAAGAGCTTGTCCATAAATTCTGGTAATAACAGCCATGAATATTATCTCACCAGTTATACCTCCCTCCCTGCCTGTGTTCCGCAGTAGCTTGCAAAAGCTATCACCATAAAATTTAGGGTGGGATTTAACATGGGAATTTGGGCTCCTTAATGTGAAAGAAGGCTTTGAAAAACTCCGTCTTAGCAAACAGCAGTGAATAATAATGATAACAATAATAGAGATAAGCCAATTCATATCTCCCCGCCCAAAATATTTATATCATGAATTAGTTAATTGTATTTTATCTTCTGATGAGTGGGTTGGTAGCCTTTGCTTTGTGACAGACCCAGCAGAGCTATGGTGCAGCCTGATGCCAAGAATATGTGTTATTTCATATTCTGTTATTTGCTTTGTGTTTAAGGTGTTGAGAGGAAATTCCCCAGCAATCCGCCTGAAGTGGTTTTGCAGGGAGCAAGTCTTTCAGTGTTTGAACATCACTTAGTAGAGGAGGGGGAAAAGAAAAAAATCCCTTTATTTGCTTTTTGTAATTCAGAAATTTGCCATATATCTAAAGAAAAGCATTAAAAAAAAAAAAAAAAAAAGGCAAGCCCAATGTGTAATTTGGGTACATATTTGAGTGTACCCAAATTAATTCTGGTGTCACTTCATCTGCCTAATTGGGCCTGAAAATAGCCTGTGGGAAGGGGGACCAGCAGCCTTGAATGCCTGAAGCAATTTGTATCAATTATTTCCCACTGTAACAGTCGTGAGTAGAAGCCTTAGCTGAGTGCCTCCATTAGCCAGGTGCCAGAGCTCTGTGCTTTCATTGCAGGCTTCCTCTGGGAGCCAAGCAGCACAGAGGAGCTGGAGCCTTGGCAGGAGCAGGAGGTGCCCCGAGCAGCTCTGCAAGGAGTGAGTGCCCTCACTGCTCTGTCACCAGCAGTCCCTGGGAGCCATCAGCACCCACCAGCCGTTCCCTGAGATAAGGCCAAGCCAGCTGGGAGGAGAATGCCTTTGATATTCCTGCCTTGCTGAGTAAGTATGCCATAACAATAACACTGAACTTTTACAGCACTTCTTCATACATGTTTGAGTGCTCCACAAACATTCATTCCCCAGGCCTTGTACCCTCCACCCATTGGAGGAAACCATTCTGTTTTTTCATTGTACCACTGTCTCAGGCCAGACCTTCCAAAGAGCTCAGCGCCCATTTTGCTGCCACTGGAGAAATTATTTCCTTTGAGTTGCCATTTTAGATACCTGTGGCCAATATCAGTCATGTTCACCCAGCTCCTGCCCCAAAATGCTTACAGCTAGACTTCTCAGGTCTGCAAAAAATTGAGCTAAAAAACTTGTGAACTGCTTTGTCTCCTGCATATAACCCTCAGAGCTCCCTGATGAGAACTTTTTTGACAAATCAAAATTCCATCAACCCTCCGCCCAGTTTTAGTCAGACTCTTCTGTTGTCTGTAGCCAGATTTCTTTTTAGCTGATGTAAAACCTTACCAGAAAAAAAGTAGATACATTTGTTTTGCTCATCCGAGGTATTTGCTGTGCTGCTCTTCTGTTTGGAAACAGAGCAAGAACATACTTGTCTCAGACACAGACGTACAATAGATAAATAAAAAGAGAGATGCTACATCCCAGATAGGCATTGTTTTGTGCTTTACTACTGCAGGCAACAGGATTAAACTTTGATTTGCATCTCCTGTCTGCATTCTCAGTGAGAAAATCCAGTCAAGGCCAATTTTGTAGTTGATCTATCTCTATGGAAAGCTGATTCCAAAGTGGTGCCAAATGTCAGTGAAGCACGGTTAAGGTTTTCACAGGAACAACAACAGAGTCTTCCAGGGAGGGCGAGCTAAGAGTGCACTCTGCAGCCCAGAGGAAAACACTGGTGCCCTGCAGTCACTGTAGCATCTGGGGAGTGCACACATTTTATTGTCTCAAAGGACAGCACCTGTACAAGCATTCACAGCTTTCATCTCTACCCCTGCCCCTTGTCTGGCCAGAGCGCCCAAAGGCCTTTATGTGGGATACAGCATTTGAGTCCTGCCCAAAGTCAAACCATCCTCTGATGCCTTCAGCTCTCATTTCCCCTAACGTGAAAATCAATAAATCATCTTGATCTGTTTGATTCTGGGGCAAGGTAACTCTGTTAGCTGGAAGTACAGCTAACAGCTTATTCCTCTTCCTAAAGCATGCCAAAGTCTCTGGTCACTCAAATGCCATCAGTCTGAGGCAGGTAATTCATGCACTTGTTGCAGTGACTCTGATCACTGCAAATTGAAATGTAAACTTCAAACATAGGGTTGCTTATCAAAGCCAAGTTTCTAATCTTTTGAGATTTGCCCATCACAAATCATAAGTGCAAAGTGGAAAAAAGGGGGAAATTTAGAGTGAGAGAACCTAGCTAAAAGCTATCAAATACATAATCTCTTCAAGTAAGGCTGGAATACCATGGAAATGGCCTGATATAACATGGAATATAGCCTGATGATTGTTTGAACTTCCTTTAACATGTACCCCTGGGAAAAGAGAGAGACACTAAAGCCTAAATGTGAAAAAAAAAATAAAAAGAGAGAGGGATAGACAGGCAGAAGAAGCAGAACTGTTTGAGCAGTGTTTGAAGTGATGGAAAGGTGTGCCTCCCACAACACTTGCTTTACTTTCCTGTAATTCAACAGCTGCATTTCTCACAGCTCACGCCTGGAGTGGGCCCACAGAGGTGGCTGGGCACGTAAGAATAACACTGACACTGCTAGGGGGTGCACAGAAGGTGCAAATCTTTTGCCATGTGTGTAGGTATGTAATCCCTCATTAGATAATCTCAGATTCTGTAATTACAGTCATTCATTTTAAAACAAAGAGACGGCTGCCAGGGAGCTCTGATCAGTTAATAATTCAGCTTTAGCTCTCAAAAAATCCTCATCATTAGAGATCTGCGTAAATCAGAATAGCCCCAACTTCCTCTCAAGACAGAGCATCCGTGTCCTCTGCCTGATCTTCTCTGTCACTGCCAGCACAGGTGCCTGTCCTCCCTCTGAGCAAGCCCTGCATCACTAAGGCAGTGGAAGGTGAAATGATAGAAATCAATCTGCCTCTCATTAGTGGGATGAATAGAAGTGCTCTGGGGACAGGGATCAATGAGTGGGTGAGGAGATGTGTTAAGAACTGGCTAAAAGACTGATTGAAGAAGAATGTTAATACTTTTTTTTCAGATAGTTTGGAATAAGCTTTGGAGGATTTTTGGATAATGGTGTCTCAAGTGAGCAATGTCACGTACACTCCGAGTACAAACACTGCTTGATAAAACGAGCTCAGGGGAGATGCTTTGTGTGAGGCAGGTGCCTTTATGTTTTTGGAGATTTCAGAGTGTTTTCAAGTAAGAAGCATGCAGTTTCCTATAATGAGCACGGGTGTTTGCACTGGAACTGAGCCACTGAACACACACAAATATTCTGTAGGCATAAGATATGTGTGTATTTATGTCTGCCTGTGCTCAGGCACACACAAGCCCACACAAATAGCAGGAGAGCCATTTATACATATTTATTTCCCTTTTTCCTACTAGGTAGCATATTCATTGCTGCATTTGTAGCCCAAATTACCCACAAGGAGGAAAAAGTGATTTCCCTCTAAGCAGAAATAGAGATGAGGAAATGTTTCACTCTGGATGCAGTGAGAAGTGTGGGATTGTAGCAGTTCTGGAACAGGCAGCATGGACACCAGAAGAGGGCTTTTCCCAGGGCGGAGCACCTTGCATTTCTCACAGCACAAATATGGCATTGCTGCTTCAGGGCCCAGGGCCAGCTCGCTGCAGTGCAGCACTCCAGAGGGAGCCAAGGCAATTTGCCTCCACATCTTTTCCATCTTGCTCACTGCCTCACTCACTGCTGCTCTTACAGATGGCCAACATTTGTGTCTTAAACATTTATCCTTCAAAACAGAGACTTTTGTATGAAAAATATTTGGTGCCCCAAAAGATTTTCCTTAAGTTTAAATTTTCATCTTGTTTCGATCTTCAGGAAACATTTTGAAATTTTAGATGTTGTTTTTTCTGCTTTTTGTCACCCTTCTTCTGTCTCACACTCTGTTTTCTGAACACAGTAGGTATTTGCCAGTGTTGAAGGGTTTGATGGGAGGGTAATTTTCTCCTTTTTGTGCCCACTTATTTTATTATTTTTCCAATTAGTCAAGGCTTTACCCATATTGTTAATGTAGTGCATTAGAAGTTTGGCTAGCACAGGATCTCATCTTCCTATCGCACCTCTCAATGAAATAAGTACAAGAAAAAAAATTATATTAGAATCATCTTTGTTTCTCCTTTATCTGAAGTTTGTAAAATTACTAAATAGATGTAAAAATAGATAAGCATTTCTTAAAATTTTGACATTGAAGTTTTCCATGCAGTCAGTGGCAGATGGAAACTATTACTGGGAAAGAAACAGAAGTGAAAAATTTTAAATATTTTGGGTAAAGGAATACAATTTGTCTCAGTTTGAATTCTGAAATATAAACAACTTGAAAATTACATGAGTATTTGGAAAACTCCATTTCTTGTCTCTGTGCCTTGTACATGCAAGTTGAGGGCAGGGTCTAGATGGGCTTTGGCTGAAAAGCAGCACTGCAAGTTCACAAGCCACCGAGAAACCTCATCTCTTGACACTCAGGTCGCATCCCAAAATCAGGCCAAAACAAGGAGCTTTCAAACTACTGGTGAGCTGGAATTTCTGAGAACATTTTCTTATGAATGCAGCAGAACATGTTGCTCCTAAAAACAAAGCCTGTCTGCTCAGAGCCCAGATTCCTAGGCCTGCAGCAGTTCTCAAGATGGACATATTTTTCCACTGAGTGTATTTGAGATGTCCCAGTTTATTTCTGACAGGACTTGTTGCCAGGCTCAGCGTCAGCATCTAGAAATTGAGATGAGATCCTTCAGCACAGCGAATCTGGATTTTGCGTCTTGGCTGTTTAAAAAAAAAAACCCTGGAGTGGGTGGACTCTGCGCCTCTCTTCTTCAGGTAGCCAAGATTCTGTTTAAAGAATACATTAGAGGTTTTGACTGATTTCAAGGCTCATCCTGACTCCTACTTGTGTCTCATGCTTTTTGCTTGTGGGTTTAGCATTTTGCAGTGACCCAAACCAGTTCAGATCCTGCAGAGGTACTGTGAGAAAAGGAATGGGTTCTGCATGTCCTTCCAAGAGGTTTGTAATATTAAGGACAAGCTTGTTACAAGTAAGAGAGTATACAGGGGTGACAAGTAATTACTGTCACAGAATATGAACGAGGTGTTTATTCCCATGCAGAGAAGTGGATCAGCTGTTTCACCAGGAAAGGTCAGTGTTTTATGTGTGTCCTCCTATGACACCCATGGGCAAAGCTCCTTGAGAGCAGTTCTAGGAAGCTGCTGTCCATTTCTGAGCACCTGGATGATGGCGATACCGGAGCCACGTGTACAAATGGCCACTGCTGCCAGGGTTTTATCATTTGTGGCTGTTAGCAGAAGTGGATGGTTTTGGGCCATCCATGTGAAGATGAGAAAGGCTGCCAGGGCTCTGGCTCTCCCCGTGATTACAGCCAGGCCCCCAGGAGCAGCAGGGCTGGAGGGAGGAGCACAGGGTGGGGGCCACCCTGGTTGTCCCACCGGGAGTGGGGACGGTGGCAGTGGCTGGGCCGTGGAGCAGCACGGGAGGAAACGCAGAACAATCAGCAGGGAAATCCAACCCAAAATAACAGGCTGGCCTTCACAAAAAGGAAAGGTCACTGCTTGAAAGCCACTATTTGAGAGCTGGGAGGGGTTAAAAAAGAGTGAGTGGAGGCAACTCAATGCCTCTGCAGCTCCAAAGAATTCCTTTTTTCTAAGGAAAAACAGTGCAGGAGAACAATGTGGATATTGCAGCGCTTTCGAGGCAGTAGATTTTTTTTCCTTATAGAAAATAAATTGGAACTGCTTCCATAAACAAGAGGCATTGGCTGCAGAAGAAAGCAAGAGCTTTTGTGGAGATTTAAAAATAACCAAAAGTAAGGAGCACGCTGGCAAAGCGTTCTGTTTTCTCAGCATTGCACGGAAAACATGACACAGCCTCAGAGGCTGAGGAAGGGAAAGGCTACGAGAGCAGATTGGGAGACATAATGTGGTAAACTTCAGATCTGCCAGATTTTGTTTTGGGAGCCAGTGTCTGATGATAGGTTACCTCATGATGGGAATTGGATTGCAGACATTGCCAGCTCTTTACTTAAACATCTAAAATCTTTCAAAACGTTTTTCTCCAGCAGACAAGCTTATTCCAACAAATTATACTGCTATGTACTGTGTCCTAACTCAGTCTGGTTCTTAGAGCTGCCCATAACTGAATATTCATGAATTCCAGACAAACATCATGGTTTACTGTGCTCATGCTGTACCTGGCAAATAAATTTATCACACAAAGCACACTCAACCCCCACAATGCATTAACCTCAGCAGCTTTAACTTTTTTAATGCATTTACTTAACTGGGGGTTTTTTTGTTCCGTTGATAAAGACCAAGTGATGTTGGTGGTGTTACCTGATTCCTGACATCTCTAATTACACTAGTGCCAGCATATCCTCTGCTGCTGGAGAGGGGTTTGTACTGGACAAGCTCATTTTATTTTTCTGAATGAAAATAAGCTGCCCAGTATGCCCAGGTACACAGCAGTAAAACACTTGCTTTGGTAGAGAATTTAGTGCTTGAAAGTAGGAGGTTTATTTCATTTTAGCATGGATGAGTCTCCAATGACTTAATAGTCATGACAATGTCAATATTACAGCCAAAAGCGCTTTATCAGACAGATGTGGAGGAAAAAAATACACTGATATTCCTGTGCTGGCACACATCTGTAGCTGGAAAACAGCAGAAGAGCTGCAGTGTACAGCTGTTAGCAGAAAATTGGGGAAGAAGTGCTCTGGTGAAATTTGGCATTCAGGTTGAGGATTCATCAGTGGTGCTGTTAACACTGTCAGAATGGCTCAGTGACTCTGCCAGGCTGGTGTGGCCTCAAAGGCTGCCCCTGCTGCTGGCAGAGTGTGTGAAGCCTCTGCTGAGCAGGCAGTGGCATCCCCCCGAACACCTTCTCACAGCAGGGATGGAAATGAACCCAGCCCAGTGCATGGAAATGGGTCTCTCCAGCTGAACACTCAGGTGATGTGTGACCAGAGAGCATGCCCAGCATGAACCAGGTGACCTGCACATCTCCAGGGTAATGATTCTTGCACCTTCAGAGCCACAGTGTCGCTCAGCTTTTATTTCTCCAGGCTTTTAATCACCTCTGAAACAGACGAATACTCCCCTTGGAGGCTGCTGTGCCCTGTGCTCTGGGGAGCCTGGCAGGTGGCCCCGTTGGTGAGAGGAGGGCAGCTGCAAGCAGGCAGCCCCCAGGAAAACATGGGAGTTTCAGTGGTTTCTGGAGCCTGAGGAATGGGGAGATGGCCTGAGCTCAGCAGGAGTTAAGCACAGTCATACAGAGGCCTGGCTGTTATGATTTAAGGTCGCTTAGTGAATATCTGTAGTTTCTATAGATATTTCTATATCTGTAAAGTAGGATATAGAGCCTTGTGCAGGAGAAAAAGAACTCTTTATGTAAGATATGACCTGGGGGGCATCATGCCAGGCTATCCCTTCCAGATTTGGAAGGCTTCAGTGTTTTGTGTGGCATGATGGGAAGTTTTGAAAACTAAGATTTTCTCTTTGGTGCAGGTCAGATGGGTGACGCCTGGCAGCTTGTGCACTGCCACTGTGTTAACCTGCGTGCCTCTCCTTCCCTCCCTGCTCCACAGGCAGAGCAACACGGGAGCAGCAGGGAGAGGTGGCTTTGTCCTGGAGGATCCAGGAGCTCGGGGTGGATATCTGAGCCTGCAGCTCCAGGCTGCAGCAGGACCCAAGGGCTGCACACACCCAGATACAGGTACTCTCAGAAACGTGGGCTGTCATGGCTGAGCCCTCAGGAGCTGGCAGTGCCAGCTTGGAGAACAACAGTAACTTCCAGCCTTTTCTTTTGTCTGCGTTTCCAGTGTTCAGTCAGTCTGATTACTTCTGGGCATTTGCCCAGCAGGGTGTGAAATGCTTCAGGGGCAAAAGGGGGGGGAAAAGGGAAAAACAAACTATAAAACAAACTACAATCTAAACCTCAGGAGGGAGAAGACATCTGTCAGGACAAACTCTTAAGAGAAATGGGATGAAGAATACTTGTTTACTCAATCTTTCGTATCTGTAGCTAGTTCAAAGAGGTCTCACAGTCCTTCCCATTAGCAGAGCAAAGGAAGAACAGAAAAGCCCTCAGCATAAGCCATTAAAAGCAGCAGCAGCAGCTTTGTGTGCTGGAGTGTGGCAGGCATTCCTAGGTTTGGTTTTTGGTTTTGCATCTAGCACTGGTAGAGGAAAGTTCTTTGCAAGGTGATAGTTCCAGCCTTGTATTGAAATGTGAGCAAAGAGGAACTTTCTCAGTTGGATTTGGGTTTATTCACAGCACTTGTAAACAGAGTTAACATTCAGAAAACGTGTGCAGGGAGTGTGCTGTGGATTACCACAAGTGACAAAGGATTTGGGACAGGGACAGGGCACTTTCCCCTTCAAGGTACTGGTTTTTTCTGGAAGAATTATGTGAGAGCAGAAATGGCATTGCAGTTCCCTGCACAGAATATACCCAGTGAGGTGAAGCACAGCCCAGTGGTGCCATTCACCTTCACCACAACTGGAAGCATCAGTGAAGTGAGGAGGACTGAGGAGCTCTCCCCTTTAGCACACACAACAGTCATGTCAACCAGTGTCACCCTTTTCCAGACCACTGGCATGTGCTTGGGGACAATAACCTGTGTTTTTTACAGTCAGGTCTTCTGAGCCACTGCTCACTGATCACAGTGAAAAGAAACTTGTGTACAGGCACTCTGCAAAATTGCCACCTTAGATGCCACTGAAGCACAGCTTTTGCTTTCAGGCATCTCCCCTGCAAGCTGTCCCTTGTGGCGTTTCCGCACTGGATTCATTGTAAATTCATTCCTCCCATTTTTTATTTGTAATTTCCAAAGAATATCAGTTGACTTTTACAGCCTCTTCAGGGCTCCCCAAGCTTCATACCACACCTAAATGCTCATTTTCACTGCCTGAAGGGCTTTTCTGACCTGAATGATTCTATCAATTTGGCCTGTACTTCAGCCTAAGGGGAAAACTGTACATTGATTGCATTTTGGAGAAAAAGATTTGAATGTCCAACTGTAAATTTATCTTGTGCTTCCCGACATGGTAGGGCAGACACACCTTTTGATAAAGCATCAGACACTGTAGTTTTTATTCTTTGTGTTTGTCTGTGCTCCCATTCTGATGACCCCTTGAAGTATTATTTTTCAAAATGATATCTAGGAGAGAAATCATGTTTATTCAGGGGGAGCCATAATTTTCATCTGTTCCAAATGCACCAGGTGTGTTTTAAGCCCTGCACACACGGCAAGAGCTGCAGAGTTTGTAGTGCAGTTTACTGCAGCACTGATTTATTCTGTATTCCAGTAACCATTCCCTGGGCTGCCAGCTAGGCTCAATACCAGGAGCAGGAGAAGCAGACCCGAGAGATGCTGTGGGTGGAGCCCAGCCAGGTTTCAGGCAGCCTGCAAAGTCTGCCCTTGCAGTACACACCGGTCTGCTGTTGCCATCTGCTGGAAAAATCCCTAATGGATATTTCCAAACGTGGGGAGGAGTGTCTGCTCCTGTCACAGAACTGCTGGGGGCTCTTTGCCCTCTAGCTCCGTGTGATCTGCCCAAGAACAGCATGTGCACCAGGCTGTTACCGCTCTCTGCAGGGTGAAGCACCTTCAGCCAAGGTCAGTGCAAGAGCAAAACAATTCTGCCAACAAAACCTGCTACTAGAGAGGCAAACAATTATCCTTCCAAAAGAATTCATCCTTCTTCTCCCTTACAACTCTCCTGTTTCATCACACCACAGAATAGTTTGGGGTGGAAGAGGCCTTGAAAACGACCTAGTTCCACCCCTGTCCTGGGCAGAGTCACCTTCCTCTCGGCCAGGGTGCTGTGCTGTCACAGATCAGGTGACAGATCTGTGGAAATTGTAATGATATTATTAAGGTGTGTCTCTTAGTGCCTTGCCATTCGTGAAGCCCGAGGCTTCACTTGTCCTAGTTTAGCTTTCTGATGTGGAGGAGCTGAACTGCCAGCTGATATGGAATTTGATGCTCTCTGTGGAGTGACATCCTGTAAAATTTCTGTCCCAGAAATTCTGTCATGATGGCTCTGCTCCATAAAGAATGAAACGGCCTGACTCTCAGCAATTTTTACTTCTGCAATAGTGTAAAAGTGCTGAAATTTGAGCACTGCTTATTATTTTAAAAGAAAATATTTTAAAACTTGAAGTGATAGCTAAAATTAGGCCTGAAAGGTAGCAAGAGCAAATACATAGAATATTTCTCCCTGTTTGTAGATATACTTTTCATTCAAAAATTTGCTGATGGGGAGATGCTTTTATGTATTTAGTGACCTTTACAGATGTATTCCCCTAGTGTTTTGAGTTGATAGAATCATGGAATAATTCAGGTTGGAAGGGGCTCTAAAGATCACCTCATTCCAAGCCTGCTGCC